GAAAACAGGAGCATATAATTCTAGGAAGAGATTTATCACTGACAACATCCAAGTTCACATTCAATATTAATGTGTATGATAATCAGGGAAGTCCCTTCTATTTGCTAGATGGGATGCTGCCTGATTCATTAATCTTTCAATAAAGCCAATTAGATCTATTTCTCTCAGCATAACATTCTATTTCTTTCCTTTGCCAAACGTTAATCCAGACTGAAACCAACTCCTTTATTTCGTTCTTTATCCATTTATTAAATACTAGAGGCCCGGTGCACAAAAATTTGTGCACTCGGTGGGGGGGGGGGGGTCCCCCAGCCCGGCCTGTGCCCTCTCACAGTCTGGGACCCCTCGGGAGATAACGACCTGCTGGCTTAGGCCTGCTCCCGGGTGGCAGAGGGCTGGGCCAATCCCTAAGTGCAGCCCCTGGTCAGGCTCAGAGCAGGGCTGATTGGGGATTTGGGGCGCCGCCCCGTCATGCACAGAGCAGGGCGGATCGGGAGGTTGCAATGCCACCCTCAGTCACTTTCAGGGTAGACTGATTGGGGGGTTGGGGCACCGCCCCCTGTTACACTCAAGGCAGGGTCGATGGGGAGGTTGCGGCGCCACCCCCTGTCACACACAGAGCAGAGCTGATCAGGGGGTTGGGGCGCTGCCCCCTGACACTCACAGAGCAGGGCCAATCAGGGGGTTGGGGCGCTGCTCCCTGTCACTCACAGAGCAGAGCCGATCAGGGGGTTGGGGCGCTGCCCCCTGCCACTAACAGAGCAGGGTCCATCAGGGGGGTTGGGGCGCTGCCCCCTTGTCACAGAGCAGGGCCCATCAGGGGGTTTGAGGAGCTCCCCCCTGTCACTCACAGAGTAGGGCCGATAGGGGAGCTGGGGCACTGCCCCCTGTCACACACAGAGCAGGGCCAATCAGGGGGTTGGGGCACCGCCACTGTCACACTCAGGGCAGGGCCGATGGAGAGGGTATGGTTCTACCCTTGTCACACACAAAGCAGGGCCGATCAGGGGGTTGGTGCGCTGCACCCTGTCACACACAGAGCCGCAAGGGCAATCGGGGAATGGGGAGCTCCCCCCCATTCAGGCACAGAGCAGGGCTGATCAGGGGGTTTGGGCGCTGCCCCTGTCACACTGATCCC